TTAAACCCAAAGATGTACCTAATTTACGAATTTAATTCAAATAAATTTATGGCAGCCATACAATGGAACGTAATTGTCTTATCATTATGGCTTTAAAAGATTATCTCTGCCTAACATCCCTTAAACGGTTGGTGCTAATTGTCTTATGTTGTTTTTATCCGTTTAAAGGGAAGGATTTAATTGCCCCATAAAATAAGCACGAAAAAAATGTATAATTAAAAAATTGTTTTACTTACCAGGCTGTTCATTTTCAAGTTTCTTGTTGAACTTTTGTTGAACGTATGACAATTAGACGAAATGCATACATTTTATAGTAAAGATAATAACCTTGCACACCCAAGTGCTCCCTTTAGAATGTACCATTTATGTAACAGAAAAAAATATTTGAAAATGGGAAAATTACCGATTAATATGTCATGCTACCGAAGAAATAAATAATAAAATATGTTTTATTATCATAAATTAAAAAAAAATAAATCTGCATTCAATGAACTTTGCTGGAGACAAAGAATTTTATAGTAATGTTTTCAGTAAACTTATTTTTAAAAATACACAATGCTTTGATAGTTACTTTACTTAAATCAGATAGCAAATAAACTAATTAATAAAAATTGTATGGTTCAATGGTATGTAACATTCTCACCTACATATTTTTAATCTGTGATCTGTGATTTAAAAATTTATATTTTTACGGAAAATTGAATATTTTTATGTATTTGACACTTAAAAAAATAGTATATTTTATGTGAACTAAAGACTCACAATAAAAAATGGCACTAGTCCTTTATTAAATAATGCACTATTATTTTTAATCAAAAAACCTCCTAGGCTGTAAAAACGATTTAGACCTTTCGGGTCAAGTTTTTTACCTCCCAGTATATAAAAACCCTATTTGGACCAATTAAAAAATTCAAATACTGTCAGATATAATCTAATCTCACTTTCTAATCAATAATTATTAAAATTGTACGTACGTATGTATGTATGTATAATATACATTGTATATGTATGTATGTATGGACAAATTGATGTCATCAGTCAATAGAGTAGGTATTTTAATATTTTAGTAGATTACAAAAGATCCAGGTTTTTTTAACTTGTCCACCCAATTTAAATGTATTTTTTCAAAAGCACGTTTGTAGAAAAACATAATAAATATTCAAAACATCAGTACCTTGGCGTGTCACAACTCCTGAATCAAATATTTGAGTGGTTTTATTTTAAAATATATTCAATTTATCTTAAATTTTTTTATTTCACTACAAACTATAAAAAATTAAATAATGTATTTTTCATATTTTATCATAGATTCGAATAATAGCAATTTTGAAAAAATTGATAATATTTGTACTCAATTTTACCCGTCAGTTCTGTGTCCAATGTTAAAATTCAAAATTCCTGCGAAATATTGAAGTTTAAACGTCAAGTCCTCGTTTTAACTCAAGTGTTGGTAAAAAATTACCTACAGAGCCCGCCCTTTGCACGACAGTCATCTTGAAAACAATGCAAGCGGCGAAGTTGTGGTGAATGCACATATAGTTCCAGTCAAAATGTCAGTACTGTGGCGAGTAGTTATTTTCTTACGTATATATTTCATTGTAATTTATATAAGGCTGTTGTTGATAAGTAGCATCCACTAATAAAAATTATCAGTAAAATACTTAATTCCGAATAATAATCTCAAATTTGTATCCCATTCATCATTTCCATGTTCGATGTTTCGGTTATCTTTTTTTCGCAAACTTCAATTTAAATTCTACTTGCGCAGAACTTATTTATTTAATGTCATTATAAACTCATATAAATTTGGTGTGGCTCCCATATCTAATAATTGAGATATCGGTATACCCAAAATCCACCAGCCGCCACTGATATGTGGTATTATTTGATTTTAAGATATTTAATGTATAATATGCTCAAAGTTGCAATAAATCTTATATTTTCCAATAAATTATGTATTTAATTAGTACCCTGGTATACTCGTCACTTCCCTTGCATTCAAATTTAGAAAACACAGATATTTCAGAAACTGTTTGAAAAAATGACTGGCCCGGTGTGAAACAGTTTATTTATTATATTATCTATTTTCTCATATGATTGTTGGTTGCATGCTAAGAATAAAATTTGGAAGTTAATAATGAAGCCCCCTAGCTGAACAGATAATAATAAAAGACTTTTGAGGAATAAATTGCATCATATATTTTTCAATAGATTAAACTACAATACCGCATCCACTGGATTGACCACCGCATGGTTTTTTACACGACTGTTGCCTATCCAAAGAGTTGAATCACCAACTAAACCAGCTCTGTTAGGGACAACAAGCTCCATACCAGGATAAACTCCACTATTACGTGGTATTTCAATGGGAATGGGGTCCCTTAATGGTCCTTGCACTCTGGTATCATACAAGCCAATAGGAGCATTTTTAGAGACCCATTCTTTATACTGAATTGCACCATCTGGGAGAATGTGCTCCAAGACTCTGCTATTACGTGGTATTTCAATTGGAACTGGGTCCCTTAGAGGTCCTTGCACTCTAGGATCATACAAGCCAAAAGCCCCTTCTGCATAGCCTGGAAGAAAACGTGCTGATGAGGTGGCAAGGACCCCCAGAAAACAGGTGACATACTAAAAAACATAAATGTTATATTTCATTAGGAGTCTGGAACACTTCCTGAGCACCAGATGTTTTAGTAAAGTCTTTAGGTTTTTAAAATAAACGAATGTTTTGACCAAAAATATAGGTATATTTTTGGTGAATCTCACGAAATGTCACTTTAGTAAATTAAACACATCCAAAGCAATCGAATCGAATATAAAATATTATTAAAAATTGAAAGAAATAATTTTTATAACCATTTATGTAGGTGTTACAAAAATTGATTCTATCCTCCGTGAATCTGTTTTTGCTTTAAATTTTATGCAACGGATGGCGCTTTAATCATTTTAAATAAGCAAAAACCTCTGTTTACGACATTATATATGAATGTGATTCCTGAAGGTCAGTTAGAATTTATATGCGGATGAGAGTGTTGCTGTTTTATAATTCAAAAGTTTAAGTTCAATAATTTGCTATTTAAAAACCTATCCACCGTGAAGTGTAATATTACATATAAATCTTAGTAAGTAGATTTTTTTTATAAATATTTAATTTATGTACAATTGTATTCTTAACAAATATTAAGGTGTCAAAAGATAAAATAACTTATTTCAAATATACAAAGGGATGTTAAAAAAAACATACGAAATCCTAACCTCCGTAAAGCTTTAATATTCAAAATGTATGATTTTTTAAAATTCTTGCATTAGTGCAGAACAACTTATGTTATGCTATTACTAGACCTGGTGTCTTCCCAAAAACCCCATTCTAGACTAACAGTGAAACAAGCAAAAATAAAAAATAATCATTTTCACTTGGGGGACATCTCAATATATTCACCCATATCTGTTTCGTATAAAACCAAGTTATTAATTTAACATTGAAGTGGAATTTTTTATAAAAACTTTATTAATTATGCAAATATTTATTTACCTACAGAACCAATTAAAAAACATTTCATTCAAGTATTACGATACGTATAAAATAGAAAGTATTTGCAAAAAATAACATACCAAAAAATTCATTGTGAAGTTTTTATAAATGCGATGCACTATACATTTCAAATGTTGTGATTTCCTTTTATATTTTGATTTCGTCCTTCGTAACCAAATATATTAATATGGCAATTGCCAAAACGTGAGAATCCTTTTTTAATTACATTGTAGTATCCCGTATTTCAGATTGTAAGAAACTCATTATCACACGTATGTTTTAAATTATACAGGTTGTCCCAAAATTAACGCCCATGCTTTTGGGATTTGATTTAGGGCACATATGTTATCCCAAAATGTGTTCAAAAATGTCCTCTTCTACTCTTGAACTATTTGTAGCATACTATCGTCTACTGAAGCCACAGAACCGTAAATACGAGCTACCAGAAGCCACAGAAAAAGTAATCCAACGGATTCAGATCTGTGATCCAGGTGGCCATGGTATAAGGAGTCGGCCCATAGGGATTTTTCATTTAGGATATTTCTATTTAATTTTATTTTATAATTTGCCGGTGCACGATCATATTGGAAACAACAATTAATCTTCATCCAGAAATGGAGGTAAATTTTCATTTAAAAATGTATGGAATATGTGGTTCAATTGACCATCGTTTTTCATTCGTTTCCATTCGTATGTATGATACCTCTCAGTAAATGTGGATTTATCACACCACAGAATTTTTTGAGACTTCAGATGCAGACTATTTTTCTTTGAAATTTCGTGAATTGTTCTTTTTTTGAACGATTTAAAAGGCGTGTACTTGGTTTCGCCACAACAAATAAAATTACACATTTCTGAATAAAAAATGAATTTGTGAAAATCGTGTCTTGAGTTACTGTGGTGGTCGAAGAAAAAAGTTTTTAATAACTTCATAACGAGGGCCAAACGTAAAATTTTCCACTTTTATTTTCAAAAGCAATTTTAAGACACCCTGTATAATGGTGTAATTAACAGGAACACTAAATCACTATTAAACTCGAAGGCAAATCAAAATAAATATAATTTAAAACATAAACATTACGTGTTGTGTTGACTTTCTTACAATCTGAAATATGAAGTAAAAAATGGTTCTCATGTTTTGGAAATAGTTTCGGATACGTATTCGTAACCAAAGGTAGAACTTCAAAAGTTGGATTACTTGATGTCATCAGTCAATAGAAAAGGTATTTTAATATTTTTTGTAAATATTTTAGTAGATTACAAAAGATACAGGTTTTTTTAACTTATCCACCCAATTTTAATGTATTTTTTCAAAAGCAGATTTGTAGAAAAACATAATAAATATTCAAAACATCAGTACCTTGGCGTGTCACAACTCCTGAATCAAATATTTGAGTGATTTTATTTTAAAATATATTCAATTTATCTTAAATTTTTCAATTTCACTACAAACTATAAAACATTAAATAATGTATTTTTCATATTTTATCATAGATTCGAATAATAGCAATTTATTTCCAGTCAAAATGTCAGTGCTGTGGTGAGTACGTATATATATTTCATTGTAATTTATATAAGGCTATATGTGATTTGTTGATAAGTAGCATCCACTAATAAAAATATCAGTAAAATACTTAATTCCGAATAATAATCTCAAATTTGTATTCCATTCATCAGTACCATGTTCGATGTTTAGGTTATCTTTTTTTCGCAAACTTCAATTTAAATGCTGCTTGCGCAGAACTTATTTATTTAATGTCATTATAAACTCATATAAATTTGGTGTAGGTCCCATATCTAATAATTGAGATATCGGTATACCCAAAATCCACCAGCCGCCACTGATGTGTGGTATTATTTGATTTTAAGATATTTAGTGTATATTATGCTCAAAGTTGCAATAAGTCTTATATTTTCCAATAAATTATGTATTTAATAAGTACCCTGGTATACTCGTCACTTCCCTTGCATTCAAATTTAGAAAACAGATATTTCAGAAATTGTGACTGGCCCGGTCTGGAGCAGTATATTTATTATATTATCTATGTTCTCATAACAAAATACTGTTTAATTTTCTCCGAAAACTATATAAACAAAATGAGGTCAAAAGTTGCCCAACTTTTGTAGAATCACCCATATAAGTATTTCATATTTATAATGAACGTATTGAATTATTATTTATTGGTTATATGTACTTACTCAAGTTTTCTTCATTTTTGTGTAGGTAGATATTTTTTGAAGTGTTTCACAAAATTATAATAAATGTTCAACTATCCCGCCGTTATTATCCACACAAAGTTGACGCGGCGTAGAAAATTATGATGTGTCGTTCTTGCTATCATACCCGGATGATTTCGGATTTCATCTGCCGCTGCAGTGACAAGTTCGCAGAGCTGTTCTAATGTGTGAACTTCGCTCTGGTACACTAAACTGTTTATGTAGCCCCAGAGAAACCAAAATAACAACTGTAAGTAATCAATTATATCCGAGTGGCTCCCTGGTTTTGTCAAAACAATCTCCTAATTTTTTATTAAAGACACCCTGTATAGAAGGTGTTCTAAAAAACTGTATAATCCCATCGGTTTTAAATTTCATAATTTAAAAGAAAAGATTTTTTTTTAATAATTTTTATATTAAGCAAATAACATTCATACATCATTTTTAGATATAACCATTTTTCTTTACCATCTTCCTTCAAGACCAGGTTTGTAAGAACCATCATCCCACAATTTCTCGTTTATATCGGGGATCCATTGTCCTTCAAGGCCGGATCCGGGTTCAATACGTGCAAGACCAATACCGCCAAGACCAATACCACCAAGACCAATACCGCCAAGACCAAGACCGACTGCTGGAGCTCCTAAGGCGATGCCACCGCCTAGAACACCAGGACCGGCTCTAGTAACGATTCCCGAAGGGCCTACCAAGGTGGCTGATCCAGCTGGTGCAAGACCAATACCAATACCGCTGGCGTTGACATAGGCAATGCCCACAACGAACAGGGATAAAATCTAATAAAATAAAAACGAATCCACTTTAAAAGTTTTTCCACATAACACTGCACTGCACTGTTTAATCCGTATTATTGTTGAATACTCACCAATTTTTGCATTGTGTATGGTTAGCAGTTCTAACTATGCGACATAGGCTTTTGTTATTTGGTTTTATAGCAGACAATAACCTTGCCCACACCCCTATACATATGCCATTTCTTCGTGTTTATAAATAGAGTCGTTGCAAGCTCAAAAATTATTGCACCAGAAAGCCGTTTTAAAAATTAAAAATCTCCCTGATTAAAACTGTTCCTTGTTGGAAAATATAAGTATAATTATTATTTCATTATAATGTATAATATTATTGATAGTAGTAGTATCCTTATATATAATTTTTTAAAAGTAAAAAAAAAGATGTATACTATACAATGTATTCTGTTATCCTTTTATATATTCCAGATTTATTTATAATAAAATGCTAATAATTAGTTTTATAATGTTTGTATTGGCCTACATTTTATTAAAATATTGGTAATATTGAAAAAAATTAAATCATACACAAAAATATAAGGAAATAACTTACCTACCATTTATCTCATAGAAAAAAAATACACAAATTCGGCAGTCAAGGTTACATTTTTAATATATAAAGAGATTTCGGGTTCGTTAAAATTATCAGTTTATAAAACTACCAACCAAATCAACCAAAATGAACTCCATGGTAAGTTTAAACATTAAAAATTATCAAAATATATTAACTTAAGTACTTTCTTCAGATTGCTGTAGTCGCCTTGTTTGCCGCTTTGGCCTCCACCCAAGCTGGTTTAATCGTTGGCCCATCAGCCCATATCCTTCAAGGACCCAGCTCCAGATCTACCATCGTGGGTCCCGATGGCAGCTCCATCTCTTCCGTAGCTCCAGGAGGCCAAATCATCACCGAAGAACACGCCGGAGTTGTCGCTCATTCCGCTCCAGTTTTGGCTCACTCTGCCGTCGTTGCTCACTCCGCCCCTGTGGTAGCCCACTCCGCTCAATTTGTAGCCCACTCCGCTCCAATTGTTGCTCATTCCGCTCCAGTTTGGGCACACTCTGCCCAAGTTCTTGCCCACTCTGCTCCAGTAGTGGCCGCTCACCACGGTTTGGTGGCTCATGGAGCTGACAGCACTGTTATTTCTGGACCATCCGGAGTTATTTCCACAAACTCTTTGGGACACCCATCTGTCGTAGCTCATGGTGTTCATGGAGTTCATGGAGTTCATGGAATTCACGCTGGAGTCGTTTATTAAATGGTTTTTTAATTTTACTGTAATATTTGTGAATATATTTTTATTGAAAATTTATGTATTTTATTTACATTTAAAGAAAATAACATCATGCTTACTTGGCAAAATGAAACAGTAAAATAAAAAAAAATTAAAATTTAAAATAGCTATTGTGTTTTAAGAGCAAAAAGTTAAACACATGTGTTTTTATAAAAAGGTTTAGTCAAGTTAAAGTGTAGATACCGCTGTTGTAATGAACGTTTTGAGTTAACTCCGAGTGAATCGAGTAAACGTCATTTGATAACCTCAAATTTGACTTTTGTGTCAAAAATCGGAGATACACTAGACGTTTCTTTATTATGGCTTCCATGGTTACTAAGCGAACGTTTTTTCTTGGAAGCGCAAATTTGTACTTTTTGGTCGGTTTCCAAAAAATACCATAAAAAAATAATTTAATTGTAAGATATTAAACACAGAGATATTAAACACAGTGTTTATTTCGTCATCCGATGATAGAATAATTCATTCTGTAATACTTTCAGGAATATGTCATTCCACATTAAAAAGTGATATTAGAACGGTCATATTCCGTAATAGCAGTAGCAAAAATTTTTGTAGTTATTATTATGCATTTTTCTACTTAAAATTTTTTAATAAAATTTAGTAAAGGGTCGTTTTGAGGTTTTGGTAAATCCAGTGCCGTGCTTAGATTTTAATATGAATTCTTTAAAATTCAAAACAAATATGCAGTAGAAAAAAAAATACATTTTGAGAATTAACAAAAAAAAAATATTTGACTGTTTTATTTTGCAAATTAAGCATAATGTCATTTTTTATAAAAGTAATAAAAATACATAAATGGGTTACCATTATATAAAAAAAACAAATAATGTCAATAATATACTATAGGCATATGTACTAATATCTCTTTTTAATGTGGAATGACATATTCCGTAAAGTGTTACAGAATAAAATATTCTATCATCGGATGACAGAATAAACACTCGTGGCGACATCTCTGTTTTTAATATCTAACAAATTTTTGACCGATCTAACCTCACTTTCTCTCAATTAAATTATTTTTCTATGGTATTTTTTGGAAACCGAGCAAAAAGTAAAAATTTGCGCTTCCAAGAGAAAACGCTCGCTTGGTAACCATGGAAACCATATTAAAGAATCGTCTCCGATTTTTGACACAAAAGTCAAATTTGAGGTTATTAATAATTATTAATTTTTACCAAACCTTTTTACAAAAACACCGATTGTAGAAAAAATCCTGTGTGTAACTTTTGGCTCTTAAAACACAATGGCTATTTTAAATTGTACAAAAAAATGTATTTCACTGTTTTATTTTGCCAATTAAGCATGATGTTGTTTCCTTTAAAAATAAATAAAATACATAAATTTTCAATAAAAATATATTCACAAATATTACAGTCAAATTAAAAAAACACATTTAATAAACGAGTCCAGCGTGAATTCCATGAACTCCATGAACTCCATGAACACCATGAGCTACGACAGATGGGTGTCCCAAAGAGTTTGTGGAAATAACTCCGGATGGTCCAGAAATAACAGTGCTTTCAGCTCCGTGAGCTACCAAACCGTGGTGAGCGGCCACTACTGGAGCAGAGTGGGCAAGAACTTGGGCAGAGTGAGCCCAAACCGGAGCGGAATGAGCAACAATTGGAGCAGAGTGGGCTACAAATTGAGCGGAGTGGGCTACCACAGGGGCGGAGTGAGCAACGACGGCAGAGTGAGCCAAAACTGGAGCGGAATGAGCGACAACTCCGGCGTGTTCTTCGGTGATGATTTGGCCTCCTGGAGCTACGGAAGAGATGGAGCTGCCATCCGGACCCACGATGGTGGATCTGGAGCTGGGTCCTTGAAGGATATGGGCTGATGGGCCAACGATTAAACCAGCTTGGGTGGAGGCCAAAGCGGCAAACAAGGCGACTACAGCAATCTGAAGAAAGTACTTATGTTAATTAATTTTGATAATTTTTAATGTTTAAACTTACCATGGAGTTCATTTTGGTTGATTTGGTTGGTAATTTTATAAACTGATAGTTTTAACGAACCCGAAATCTCTTTATATATTAAAAATATAACCTTGACTGCCGAATTTGTGTATTTTTTTCTATGAGGTAAATGGTAGGTGAGTTATTTCCTTATATTTTTGTGTATGATTTAAATTTTTTCAATATTACCAATATTTAAATAAAATGTAGGCCAATTCATTATAAAACTAAGAATAACGTGTTTATTAGCATTTTGTTCCCATAACTACATTAATTGTAAAAAGTTATTGTTTGTTATTGTTTATTTTTAATATTATAAATAAATTGCATCATCATATAGCAGTGCAAGGAAATTTATCAATTTTTTATTTAATTACGTTTTTAATAATTTTTTTAATTAAATGGTAAATATTAACCAAACTATCACGTACACACCTGACCCTTTCGATTTTACTAAAAAAGTTTCTCCGAATTTTTCAATTTTTTTTACCCAACCAAAAAAATGTCTCTTTTTTTAAAAACCAATAATTTTTTAAAAATTGACTAATTTTTTGTATTTAATGTAGTTTTTTGAAAAAAAAACAAAAAAATTCGATATTAAATTATATGAAATTTTACAGTTTTTTAATGTTAGTTTAATCAGGGATATTTCATGGTAACTCGTGTTACAATCAGATATATTATTTGGAAGTAAAACGACAATACTTAATTCTAAAAGTTTAACCTACATCAACAATTTTATTTAAAAACGTACTGTTCGTAAACAATTAAATTAATATCATAATAGACAAAATTCTTTTAGATTGTTATTTTTTAGAAAATAAAATTCACCAGTCACTCGCGTGAGGACATACAATTTACCTTTCAATAAACTTTTTATTATTTCTGTGTTTTCAACAATAAAAGTACTCTTAAATAACCAAAATAGATTAAGGTTAAACATAAAGAAATATATACAATTATTAATGTTTTTCATACATTTGGTTTTAGAAAATAAACAACAAAAAGTGGTAACTCGCGTTACATTAACCTTTGATACTTTTTGACATAGCAATGTTTAGAAAATATAGGACTAAGTTATGACCCTTGCCAAATTAACAGTTCTTAAATTTAATTTGTATAACAAATAAATAAAGTAAAGTCGTTGCTTACAGGATGCACGGCCTACTATACCATTTACATTAATTTGTGATTTTCCTCATCATGTCCGCAGTTTTATGGAATGACCCATCAACTTTTTCGCCATTTTTAATTTGGTTTTTTTTTGTTTTATTAAAAAAACTAAAATATTTTATAGAACTTGTCATTGAATATTTTTTGTATTATTTTTAAAAAGTTGTGTTGTTAAAAAAAAAATTTGAATTTTTTTACCTGTTTTTGGTTTGGTAAAAATTCTGAGAAAAATATAAAAAAAATATTTTCCAAATCTAAAGGGTTTAAAAGTGGTCGATTTTGAGTGGAACGACCCATATACATATAAATAAGGATGGAATATAAAAAAGGATAATGTAAATACCTTTATAAAACAACACCAATACATTTATAATGTACCTCTTTTTTTACCTTTTTTTACCGTTATATTTTGCCAATTAAGCATGATGTTGTTTTCTTTAAAAACAAATAAAATAAATTTTCAATAAAAATATATTCACAAATATTACAGTCAAATTAAAAAAACACATTTAATAAACGAGTCCAGCGTGAATTCCATGAACTCCATGAACTCCATGAACACCATGAGCTACGACAGATGGGTGTCCCAAAGAGTTTGTGGAAATAACTCCGGATGGTCCAGAAATAACAGTGCTTTCAGCTCCGTGAGCTACCAAACCGTGGTGAGCGGCCACTACTGGAGCAGAGTGGGCAAGAACTTGGGCAGAGTGAGCCCAAACCGGAGCGGAATGAGCAACAATTGGAGCGGAGTGGGCTACAAATTGAGCGGAGTGGGCTACCACAGGGGCGGAGTGAGCAACGACGGCAGAGTGAGCCAAAACTGGAGCGGAATGAGCGACAACTCCGGCGTGATCTTCGGTGATGATTTGGCCTCCTGGAGCTACGGAAGAGATGGAGCTGCCATCTGGACCCACGATGGTAGATCTGGAGCTGGGTCCTTGAAGGATATGTGCTGATGGTCCCACGACTAAACCAGCTTGGGTGGTGGCCAAAGCGGCAAACAAGGCGACTACAGCAATCTATGTGTAGTAAGTACTTAAGTTAATAAAATTTCATAATTTTGTATGTTTAAAAATACTTACCATGGAGTTCATTTTGGTTGGTTTATTAAACTGATAAAGTTAACATACCCGAAATCTGTTTATATATCGAAATCATAACCTTGATTAATTTTTTTATATATAGGAATGGTTTACTGTATCATTTCCTGTAAGATACCCCATAATCAAGTACAATTAATTACTAGATATTTTTTTACACATAACAATGTTCCTTGTTGATTTATAAATAAACCAACTAACAAAAAACTTAATTACTATTTACGTTATAAAAAATGTAGTATAAGGAACGATATCGAATTGAAGATCAAGACTGGCCTTGTAAACAATATGAATGGCGTGTTTTAAGGTTTTTGTATCTCAATTTAATTGACAATTTTAGCACCATCAAATTTGTTCTGATTGACATAATCTAAAAGCAGTTTCAAATAAAAGCAAAAACATTTTAAGAAAAATTATAGCAGACAGTTTGCTGTAAATTAAAATATTTATATTCAATTTACTCCATTCGGAATCATGACACTAGCAGTGAACTGAGCAATCAATATTCCTAAATGTATTTTCACTGTATAAAAATAACTAAGGATTTTTGCTGCAATATTTAAGGAAGAATAGTGTGCATTTAGCTCGAAATTTGTGTACCCAGTTAAATGTAAAATTACAGGTCACTGTATAATAAATTCGTGCACATAACCTATAATGTCAAACGTCAATATTATCCACAGATTACAAGTTGACAGTTTTAAAATAATGCAAAATCTGGAAATTATTTTATTATCTTTATACAAAAATGCAAAATT